TGTAAGAAGTTCCCCTTTTCCATCCCACATTCCTTCCAGGCATCACCACTCTCACCACTGGTCCTGAAGGGGTCATCTGTCCTGGATTCCCTGTGTTTCCAGTTGCTCTCTGTACCAGTGTACATCCTCTGGTCTCTTTTTATTAAAGGTTGAAGAGTAAGGATGTTACTTTGAGGACTAAGGTACTCCTGACCCAAGCAATGGTATTTTTTATTGTCTCCTATGCAGTGAAAGTTTCACAGTGAATAGGGAAGACCAAAGAAGGATCAATACATTTGAATCATGGTGCTGGTGAAGAATATTGAAAGTACTGTGGGCACACCTGGTTGGCAGTATAGCCAGAATGCTCCTTTTTGGCAAGAATGGCAAAACTTTGCCTTACATACTTTGGACATGTTGTCAGAAGAGGCCAGTCTCTAGAGAAGGATGTCATGCTTGGTAAAGCTGAGGGACTGTGAAAAAGAGGAAGGCCCTCAAGAAGATGGAGGGACACAGTGGCTGTAACAGTGGGCTCCAGCACAGGAACATTGGGAGGATGCTGCAGGACCGGGCATTCTCTCCTTCTGTTATGCATAGGGTCGCTCTGAATTGGAACCTGTTCGACAGTACCAAACAACAACAACCTGTCTAAGAAATTTGGATGTAGCGAAGTTTCAGGACAAAATCATTCTGGGATCTTCCAGTAGGCCCAAGGTGCAGGCCCACTGCTTGCTAACGGATGGAGCCCTCCCCAGTGCCCTCGCCAAGGTCTGCCCATGTGACTAGTTCCTGCCAATGTCGCTGTGTATGCCCGCCTAGCAGGGGGGTCCTTTCACATTTCAGCCACAAATCCCTAGGGGCCGGAATGAAACCACCACTGAAAAGCATATATCAGTTGAGTTTGAGCCACTCCTTGTTAGCCCAGCAAGTTCGATACCCTGGTACACTGGTCGCATCTCAATGCTGGGAAATGTTACTGTATCCCTACATCCTAGGCCTCACAGATGTGCTGCGGTCACAAAGCATCCAAGCAAAAGCTGGTGAATAGTCCGGCACCTGGTTCCAAAAGGACTAGCAATCTTTGGCCTGTTTCCACCCCTAAGGGCACAGCCCTTCCTCTGGGGCGGGGGCACCATCCCCTCACCTGCAGCATCTGCAGAGCTGAATGCTCCCTCTTGTCCTCCAGCTCCAGAAGTAGCATCTCCAAGGACCTACTCTGCTGGTCCAGAATGGCCTTGTTCTCCAGCAGCTTCTCCACTGTCTCATCCTCCTCCTTCTTCAGGGCCTGGAGGAGGCGCTGCTCCTCCTCAGCCAGGAAGACGCACATCTTCTCAAACTCCATCACGATGCGGTCTCTCCGATTCTTCACCTCATCCTGGTGAGACAGGGGTGGTGTCCCCTCAGCTCCTAGACCTGCCACCTTCTGGCTCTTCCCTGCTTGACTTGTAGCTGGGCAGGGCCTGCTCTTGGAGTGGCCAGTCTAAGAGTCGCCAGTACATGATCAGCTACCTCCTTCTGATGAAAAACTGGTCCAAATTAGGGATTTGAACTTGGAGCCAGGGATATGGTAGAGGTCTCCCAGGGTCCCCTAACTTGATAACTGCAAAGTAATCCAAGGAGTAATATTCAAAGAGACAATTTCCTGAGTTTTTGTCTCTTGGAACATTCCTTATCTTAGAGAGCTGAGGAAGCCTAACGATGCATCTCTCACCACAAGTGGGAACCAGAAAGTGCAAACTAGGAATTCTGACACAGGTCAATGTAGCAAAGACACAAATAAGGCCTGAAGGCAAAAACCAGAGGCCCAGAATGTTCCATGTAGAGAATCATTTTTTTTGGAGCTTCAGGACCCATTTCCTCCTCCTTCCAGGGGTGTCATCTCTTCTTTGAAACTCAGAAGAGCCACCAGAGGTTTCTGTCCTGGGTGCTTCCACACTCAAAGCTACCACAAGTTCCTCTTCCCAGAAAGGTCCCCAGAAGGACCAGGAGAGGAAGGGGCCCAAGAAATGGAGAAGGGGAGCGTGAGATAGCAGGGGCAGTGACGGGAGTCCACTTTTCCCCCACGTACTCTAAAAATGGTTGAAGTGGACTGAATGCCGCTACTACCACCACCACCACCACCAAAAAAAACCACAAAATGATAGCGTGAGGGACCTGTGCCTGTGACTCTGGGGAAATGTAGTTTTTGTTGTTCTTTTAAAGATATTACGGAAGCAGGGTTTTGATCCTAATCCCTTTTGAGTGGTGTTTTGTAAAAGGAACTGGCAAGGAGACAGGCTCACACACATGGGGAAGATACCATGGGAGGATCTGTCTACAGGCCAGAAACCAGAAACATCTGCAGCTACCAGGAACGGGAGGAGACACGGACAGATCTCTTCCTAGAAGGCGAGCCGGGCCCTGCAGCTGCCCTGAATTTTGAGTGACTTCTCACTTCTCGGGCTGTGAGAAAAGAAACCCCATTTTCTAAAGCTGCCCACTTTGTGGTATCTTATGACGCGAGCTCTAAGGAAGCAGCGCAGTGGCCTAAACCCTGAAGACTCGCAGAGCCTGCCAACCATTTTTACAATAGCCTGTCTGGGCTGAGCCTTGGTTTTGAATCAACTTTCTGAGGTCCCCTTTTACCACCCATTAACTGTAATTCCCACCTCAAAGTTAGGGATCTTTGTGAAAACTGAGGTGGTGAGAATAGCCGCAAGCTCTAAGAGCGTGTGTAGACACCAAGCCTCAGGGAGTGCTGGTGTCTTATAGGCCCAGTCCACAGGGTGGTAGAGAAGCCCCTTATCCCTCCAACCAACCCCTTTGGCCTGGTCAGAACGTATTCCAAGCCCCAGGCCTTCCTGTCCTCGGAGCTGCTGAGCGCCCTATGAAGCAGACACCTGCCTGCCACTCTTTCATCGTCTTGTCTTCTTTGGTCAGTGCCTCCTCGGTCTTCATCATTTCCTCTCTCAGGTAGTCTATGTTTTGCTCCAGCTTCACCTAGAAGACACCCAAATGGCAGCATGTGAGGATGGTGGATCCACCCCCCCATCTGACTTTCATTCTTCCACAGCTACATCCCACCAATACCACCTCAAGAGGTCCCCTAGAAGGTGAGGTCACAGTGGCCAGGAGTCTGGGCCAACAGGGGCCTCGATCTCTGTGAGCAGGTGAGCTCTCTGTCTGGTGAGATGAACCAGTAGATGCAAGAGAGCAACTCTTCCATTTTGATGAATTTCCTAGGCACAGCTGGGCCTGGGCATGGCCCTCAAAGGCACTGATCTGAAATGACTCCTACACTGAGGGTAAGACAAATCAAATCTCTTTAGTTAATTCACATGATGCAAAGCATGAGAACAGTCCCTACCTCCACAGCGCTGCTCTCTCCCTTCCATCCTCCCCTCACGGGGACTGGCCTCCTGAACGGTGCTGGCCCTCATCTAGACCCCAAGAGTCGGTGTCAACCACAAAATTTGCATCAACAAAAAGACCTGGGATGTTTCAATGGTTCCTCAGGTGTGGTTTTCCAGACCAACTTCAAGGTGTCCCTAGGAACTTTGTGGAAATCCAATTATTGGATCCCATCTAGCCATGCTGAGTTAGCAACTGTGGAGATGCATCAGCAATCCGACTTTCTCAAAATGTTGGTGATGCTAATGTACTATACTGGTTGAATCTAGTTGGCTCTCTCAGGAGATTATTGTTATCATTGTTTTCCAAGTGCCCAGAATCTCATGGGGTCCCAGATACGTAGTTAAACATTAATGTACTTGGTAGCTAAAGGTGAGAGGTTCAGGCCCACCCAAAGGTGCCTTTTCCCGAAACTGTAGCCCTTGACACACACTGTCACATACTGGATCACATGCATGCTCACCCACTTGGTGGCCGCCTCCCAACCAAGCAATGTGACTTGCCTTGCACTTCCTAGGATTTAAGTTGGAACGGCCTGTGTCTGACCACGCAACATGTTTATGGCCTCTCTGCAGGTTCTGGAGTGAAGTGTGTCCCTCCAAAATGTGTTTTGGAATCCTAACCCATAGTGATACTTCTGCATGTGATCCTATTTGGAAATAAGGGGTTTCTTTTCTTATGCTGATACGATAGATCCTCAGCTTAATCGCTTATGAGTTATAAAAAGACCACAGCACAGAAATGACCACAGAAACAGATCGGAATAGAGATGTCATGTGAAGATCTGTGGGCCAAGGAATCAACAAGGCCTCCAGAACTGGAAGAAAATACGTCTTTTCTTTAAAGTTCTTCAGTTCACTTGGCGTATTCCTGTCCTATGGTGTCTCCCACAGTGGTCAGTACTGCTCCCTGGTGGCACTGGAATGATCTAGTGCAAAACTTCATGGATTATGGGCTATAGCACAAAACTAATTGCTGGCGGGGAGGGGCGCTGAGTAAAAAAATTTTTTTTTCCTGAAAAGGGGTGGTAGGCTAAATAAGTTTGGGGACCTATGGCATAGCAACTAAGACAACTCTTGAATAATCTTGGAGGCAAGGTCGCATGCCAACCTGACACCCATTGGTTCTGTTCCGTGATCAAAAGAAAACTTCCACTGTGCTGTTGTTCACATTGAGGCCTATTTGTTACAGCAGTGGTTCGCATGCCCTCACTGATAAATCCCCCTCTCCCTACAACATACCCGACCCTCAAGGGTGGAGCCCACCTTGTAATCTTGGGTGGCCTCATCAATGGGGAACACCGTATGGAGCCGGTGCTCCCGGGATTCTCTGCAGACGACACAGATGGGGCTCTGGTCGTCCTGGCAGAACAGTTTCAGCAGTTCCTGGTGTATCTTACACAGGTCCCTCTTCTGGAGGCTGGGGTGCAGACGGGCCATCTCAGCCACTTTGGTCAACAGGCGGTTCGGCCGAAGGTTCCTCTGTGGGGACATCTCCCTGCATTCAGGACAGGAGAAAGAACCTCTCCGCTTCCGTCTCCCTTTCTTCCCTCTCCCCTTCTCCCAGCTCAGTTGGATGCACTCTCGGCAGAAGTTATGGCCACAGGCAGTCATCACCGGATCTATGAAGTAATCCAGGCAGATGGAGCAGGTGGCCTCTTCTTGAAGCTTTCTGGCAAGTTCCACAGCATCCATGGCTGCTGGATAAGAAACCAAGTGATTTGTTTGGCTTTAAGTGCCTCCCAGAGGGAATTTGAAGTGAGCCGTTTCTTCTCAAATGTCTAAGCAGACACTGTTCAGAGAGCTCCGTGGCTTTATCCCAGGTGCTGTACATTTTATGAAGGTGGAAAAATTGGGGTTGGTATTTGTCATTTTAGCCTCTTCAATCAGAGACACACATGCTTCTAAGAAACTCCCGTGTAACAAAGGAAAACAGACGCTCTTCCATTGGAGAGTGAGGTGCCTGTGTAGGAAAAGACACACAAGATATGGGATCTGACCTTAAGTCATGGAGCTAAAAACCCTCCCCCCCCCAGCTTCAAAGGGCTGTTAATAGGACCAAATTGGATAATATATTTGGAAATAACTTCTAAACCACAAGCACTCTATATACATACATTCTCTCCCTTTACAGAAGGAGCCCTGGTGGTGTAGTGGTTCCGCATTGTGCTGCTAACTGCAAGGTCAGCGATTTGAAACCACCAGCTGCTCCTCGGGAGAAAGAGGAGACTTTCTGTTCTTGCAAAGGGTTAGTCTCAGAAACCCCCAGGGGCACTTCTATCCTGTTCTATAGGGTTGCTATGAGTCAGCATAGACTCCATAGCAGTGAGTACCTATTGCTTCATCTGCGTTGAAAATTGGATAAGGAAGACAGAAGAGGTCATGGTGCATTTATAGTGTTGGCAAAAAATATTGAAAGTACCATGGAGTGCCAAAACAATAAACAGATCTGTCTTAGAAGAAGTACTGCCAGAATGCTCCTTGGAAGCAGAGATGATGAGATTGAGTCATGTGCTTTGGACATGTTGTCAGGAGAGACCAGTCCACGGAGAAGGACATCGTGCTTGGTAAAGTAGAGGGGCAGTGGAAAAGAGGAAGACCCTCAATGCGATGGATTGATGCAGTGGCTGCAACAGTAGGCTCAAAGCATCACAACTGCGAAAGACGTGCGGGACTGGCCCTGAGTGGGACTTGCCTGCATGGTCTCTAACAACATTTTGATGGCCGGTGCCAACCACGTTTTCAGACATCCTGGAGTCTCTATACCATCAGTTAATTTTATCAAGAACGTTGCTTGCATAGCATTTAATGCAAGCTCTCTTACTTAATTTGCAGGAAGTGTGAGGCAGGGAAGAGGAGCCCTGGTGGTGTAGTGGGTCATGTGTGGGGCTACTAACCATAAGGCCAGCAGTTCAAAACTACCAGCCCAAATGTAGGAGCAACATGAGCCTGTCTACTCTTGTGAAAATTTACAGCTCTGGAAGCCCACAAAGGCAGTTCCTCCCTGTCCTATAGGGTCGCGCTGAGTCGGAATCAACTCGATGTTCTTGAGAAAATGACCATGGCAGGAGTGTGGTGGCCCTGCCCCACCTGTAGGGAAGAAGCCCATGCAGAGAGGGGAGGAAGCCTTTCTAGCCACTTGGGCCCGCCCCTTCCAGGTAATGGCATAGGGCAGGCTACTTGCATTCCCTACAATATTTCTTCTGTGAAACACAGGGGCCAAATTAGTTGATTTGTCTATAGTCATCTATGATTTATAATCATCTCTGGTTTATAGTCATCAGTGACTCAAATTTATACACGTCTTCAGAGGCTGAAAAAGGTGGAGTAAGGGTGAAGAAGCTCAGTTTTACAATGGCAGGCGAGCCGGGTACCTTGACATGAGATTTAGACGAAACAGCACAGCACCGGGCTGGAGAAAAGCCAGCAATCACGCTGCCATCCGTCCATCGTGTCTGGGATGTGCCCTCGTCCTCGGACGGAGAGCCTCTTCCTCAAGGGATGGGTGAAACAGGCACGGAAGCCAGAAGAGAGCAGGAGCCGCGGCACCACTGAGTAAGGCCCACTGGGCCAACCAAGCTAAGCAAGACCTGCGAGGTGAGGCTCTGCAAAGCTGGGTTTGTTCCACTGAGCCGCCCAGACCAATTGAGGGCCCGGTGGAAGGGCGGGGCTTTGTGGCGTCAGCTGGGAGTGGCCTGGGCGTCGGGGAGGGCTTAGAGGTTTGCAAAGGGGGTGTGGAGGCAGCCGGGGGC